TGTGTGTGTGTGTGTGTGTGTGTGTGTATGTGTGTGTGTGTGTGTGTGTAGCACTGGGGATTGAAGCTACTGCTTAGCTACAACCCCAGCCCCAGGAGAAGTTGTTTTTGTGCCGTCCTTTCCTTTCACTTGTGTTCAAACTTCTCATTCTCTTTGTTCCTATAACACCAGAGAGCTTCAGCGATCGATGCCATTCACAATCATATTACTCTCCTAATCAGTTTATCTGATACCCTTCAACGGTATTAAGGTCAGGGACTAGAGAGAGGACTCAGAGGTTAAGAGCACTGGCTGATCTTTCAGAGGACCTGGGTTCAATTTCCAGCACCCACATAATGGCTAACAACCTTCTGACCCTCCAGTTCCGGGGCAACTGACACCCTCTTCTGATCTCCATGGGCATTGCATGGCATGGTGCACTTACATATATGCAGGTAGTACACTCATACAAACAAAATAAAAATAATAAATAAAATATTCTTAAAAAGATGTCAAGGTCAAACTTCTTTAACCAAGTTAGGGAGGAAAGCATAGAAATATGTACTCTTTGTTACAACTAAAGTAAAATTGAATTTTTACTTTACCTTTTAAAAGTCACAGTATGAGACTTAGTTTATACAATAGATGTGGTCAGTGGAACCATGAAAAAGTTTGTGGTTTTAGTAAATTTTTTTGGTGTGAAAATGATTAATGTTATTTTCTCCTAGGCTGATAATAGGGTTTTCCACCTGAAATGTCATATCTCTTATCCCTCTTCCAAGTCCATTGTCTGGAAGTGTCATAGAAATTTTCCAAAAGAGTCACAGAGCTTAAAGTCTCCTGTGACAGAGTGTGTCATTTCTAAGCACTGCCCAGTTATTCTTCAAAATGAGATAAAGTTCATGAAAAGCCTTGCAAGCTTCCTCTGGAAGATATTTAAGTTGATGGTGTCATTATAATTGGTTCTCCGTTAAAAAAAAAAAAATCAAAGCCGCTTTGCCCTCGCCTTCCTTCCTCTCTGCTAGCAAGTAATTCTGCTCACCTGTTCCCTTTGATCTTGCCTCTTGCTCATTTGATGTCATTTTTTGTAATCAGGTCTTTGGTCTCAGAGGAGCAGGCTCATCTTAGTAAACAAAAACATATAAAAGGAGAGTATACAGTCTATTATTTTTGAAAAAAAGAGAAGTTCCTGCAACTTCAAATTTCATAAACTTTTCCCTTTATTTCAGTTTGGTGGCAATAGAGATGACATCTTCCTTCCTTTTGACATTCTTTCCCCGTCATTCTTCAAGGTGTCTAGGATGTCTTCTGCTGTCTGGGATG